TGCTTCCTGAAAATCAAATCAAGAAACTTGACCAAGTTGTCCAAGTGACATAGAAGCTATTTTTGACCCATTCATTGGATTGGAATTGCCTACTTAGCCCTTTTCAGCCACTGTGATGCCAAGGAGTATCCCTTCTAGCTACATGTGATGCTAAACTTAATGTGTTAGACTTTGAACTCTGGGACTGAAGAGTCTGGACGGTAATTCTAATGATGATTGGCAATTACATGTTTAATAAATAGTAGATATGATTAATTATATTAATAAATTTTGATATAATTTAAACAGAGGGGCCTGATAAATCAGGGGTGGTTTAATCCCTCAAAGGTATCCTGCAAACAGCAGAGGATTTAGGTACCTGATAACACTGGGGCCTGTGAACAGGTGTGGTTTAAATCCCAGAAGAAACTATTAAAAAATCTCAAGAAATAATGGGGTATTTGTGTACTAATAATTTCCCTTAAGTCTTGAGGTTTTTGATAGACAGAGGATTAAAGCAAGAAACGATACATTACCAGACAGATACAAATTTTAAGCATTTGTGACGGTGGGTAATCTAAAGTGGGTTGTTATAATCTGAGGAATCTGGTTTTGGGTGGAAAGAGGGCCCTTTAAATACCTGAGGAGGAATCTGGGAGATTAGGGTCAACTTGTGGGTGCTTCATGCAGGGCTCTGATCTATCCCACTGGTTGATGCAACAAGGCTGAAACCGTGTTCTTTGTTACAAGGGGGATAGTCTGTGACATATTTCATTTGAATAAGGCTGAAAAACGTGACTATATCCTTGGAAATGTCCACAGGTGTTCCATGGAAGAAGTCTGAAACATGTGGCTTTTTTCTTGGAAATGTGCCACATGTTTGTTACCAATAGGAATATGTATGTTTGAGAGGACAAATTGATTTCAAGTATTGAGCCTGGTTACAGCACCTACCCCCACTGTGCCACATTCATTCAGGACTTACTTGGGAGCTCTCCTCCTTATAAACAGCGCGGGACGTAGCCCTTTGTGTCTTGTCAACTTACCTGTTCAGTGCCCTGTCTTGGGCACCTTGGAAGTCCCGGAGACCAGCAGTGTTGATAATCACACATCCACCCCCTCCCCGCCCGCCCACGCTGTGGTAGTCAAAAATGTGAAAATTCAACGTTTTTTTCTTTCTTTTCTTATACATATTCTTCTTCATATTATCACCCAATCTCTCTCAGAAATCACACCATACGGCTCAAGAACCGGACTCGACGGATAAATTCACCCTTGGTCACCACAGAGGCGTCATTGGAACACACCTGGATCAAAAATTATCCCACAATGGACAACATATCACAAGTATTTCAACCATCAAGTACATGTCAACAATCACAATTACAACACTCAAGCTACACAGACACCCTCAGTACTGTACAGCCTCACATTTACATACACACTCATTTACATACACACTCATTTACATACACACTCATTCACATACACACTCATTTACATACATCTACACTCCTTACATTTCATTGATACATATCACAAAACTCATGCATGCAGTCTAAATTAGTGTATTTTCCTTGCATGACAGCTGCAGCTTACACCACCACACTCACTTGTAAACACATTGGAACCTGACCAATCAGAATCACTCATTCAGCTGTTTGGATCACCACTTCAACTCTTGTAAATGTCTGACCAATCACATTCACTCATTCAACTTATGTATGCAGCTAAAATACCTCATGTAATAGCCCAGCCCAGCCAAAATCACTCATTACTGGCTTCCCTGGAGCTGAATTCCCTCACTATTTTCTTTATAAGGAGGCTCTCCTCCCAGTTGTTGTCTCCTCAGTGTATTATTCATCAGTCATAGTTTAGTACCACTCAATCAAAGATACACCACCTTTACAGAACCTTACCAAACACCAATAACAACTAAACTCATTTCTCAGCATCACACAAACTCATTCCTGAACTTACCCTATCACTTGATTAAAACTTGCCAAGCTGAGCTTGGTGGGTCTTGTTATCTGATAGTATAGAAGGGCAGAGCTTGCACCTCCACCATCCCCTTCTCCATTCAGCAAAAAGGGTCTTACAACCACTTTTTGAGTCTTACAACACCCATGCCTGGAAGGGATGGTTTCATGGCACACCCCTCCTGGAAGGGCGGGTGTCATTGCACGCCCCTCCAGGAGTGGTGGGTGAGATAGCACACCAACCAAGAACCAAGATATTCTTGTTTCTTGACTGGCGGGTAGCTTAACCAAGGGGCGGGGCTAGAGATTGTTTGTCTATACCCTTTGCTAGGTACCTAGTACTGCTTGGTGCGTACCGCCAGCACCTGCGGCGCACCCGGTGGGCGAATCTGGAAACAAAAAGTTAG